TCTCTCTCTCTCTCTCTCTCTCTCTCTCTCTCTCTCTCTCTCTCTCTCTCTGCAACGCGTAGTCAAGATTGCGAAGGAAAGTAACAAATTGCATCGCACTCTGCATCATAACTTCGTTGCAATCAAAATGCGGAAGACTTCTTATTTTTCTTTATTTCATTCTCCTCCGTGCAGGGTGATGGCAATATTCGTTACTACGAAGCAGTTAACGAAGCTCCTTGGATGCATTACCTTAGTCAATTTATATCCGGCAATCCTCAGAGAGGATTGGGAATTATGCCAAAAAGAGGGATCAATACCGCTATATGCGAGGTGTTTAGATTTTACAAACTGCACGCCACTCGTGGAATGTGCGAACCAATCTCGATGATAGTACCCAGAAAGGCAAGTTTGCACGTTTACATTGAATATTGATTTATATTGATTTATTTCTCATCAGTTTGAGAAGAAGAAAAGAAAAGGACTGAGATTAATCGTGTTACAGAGCGATCAGTTCCAAGAAGATCTGTATCCTGATACCATTGGCACGTGCCCCGCGTTATCCGCCAGAGATTGGATCAGCGGTATGAACAGTCCACCGATCTTGATCTCCCTTAAAACAGGTCTCGTATTTTTCAACAGTATACTTAGATATTTTAGTAAAATTCTGTCCAACGGTAGACTCTCTATATCGATCGATATTACGAAACTTGTAATAATTCGTAATAAGTCGTAATCGCATGCACTAGGTGGTAGCATCTCTACGCATAAACCTCGAGTATACAAGCCACCGCAATTGCCTCCAACTACCGATCTGAATAACAAGAAGAAATTTGCGTTTCTATCTACCGAAACCATACCGGATTATAGACCGGTGGAACTGCATGACATGTCGGAGAAGAGTCAGAAAACGTCCAGCAATCAAAGCACAAAATTTCAGCAGCTCCAGCAAAAGTTTGGAAATGTTGTTATACAGGTACGAAAATAGTGTACACACATCTACTGATCTCGTGATAGAGTTTTATATTGATCTCTATCCCATATCTGATTACTTTCTTCCGTTAGAAAAATATCATATCCTCTCCGCTTAACGACAACAAAGCCATGGAGACCGTTGATGTCCCAAACAACGAGGCGGAACTTCGATTGGCATTCGCTCGTCAAACCGACGAATTGAGGCTCGTGCGACGACAGCTTGCCAATAGTCAATTGCGCGTTAAAGAATTAGAGGACCAAGTGAGAAAACTCCAGCGCCAATAAAACGCTTACGACCAATATTTCGCTTCGATCTCGGCTTCGAGCAAAATTTTTGCAGCTTTATTACTAAACGTGATTAGTGATTAGTACTTAAAGATCGTATTTATGCACAATTAACGATGAAGGGAGAGCCTAAGCTTCCGAGAATATTGTACCAACACATACACACACACACACACACACTGCTTAGGACTTTTATTCTATGATAACATTTCATGCATAAAAAGAAAAGCTATTAGCATTGAAACATTTCAATGCAACATTAATTTTTCAGTTGGTCAGCATGTTTATGTAGAGTAACGTTAATATATCGATCACGAAGATTTCAAGAAAATGGGCCATATTATGTGAAAAATTGTACCTGTACAAGCATACCTGGATATGTAAGTTGGATATTGTATGCGTGTGTATTACCGTACACGCCAACAATCATAAACTGGTGGCTAAGGTTACGGAATCGAGAAAAGCACAATGTTTTTAGACAAATGGCAGCATAAAAGTTATATATATATATATATATACATACATATATATATACATACATACATACATACAAACATACATACATACATACATACATACATACATACATATATACATACATACATACATACACAAAATCGCACGTTATCGGTTAGATGACTGATTATCTCGTTTTACTTTTCGAGAATATCGTATGTTGGTACTAGTCCCCATTATAACCAATTTCTCGTTTATTAATTTATATTGCCATCTCGTATCTGTTTATTATTTAACTAATTATATCTTTAAAATTTGATATGAAAAGAGTCGTTAGACAACTGGTCAGCATTATAATACTTTTTTTGTATATTATCACATAGTACATTTCTGCTCTGATTTGCATTCAATTTGTCAAATAAGGCAAACTCTATCTATTACGATCTCTTATGAAGGCGAATGAATGGCGCGCATTACGCTCTACAATATTCTCTATGTTGCTGTTATCATACGATATAGAAGAGCGAGTAATTTCGTGTCGAGCATTTTGTTATCGCGTGTATCCTCCACTGCCATCTGTACTGCCTTTACGCGTCTTGATGGCAATAAGATATTATAATCTCTACATGGCAGTGATAATTGACAAATGTTACATTCAGTTTCGGAGAGACTATCTCAAGACTCTTTTTTTATACGATCAATGTATAATGTAACGTACACGCACGATTACAGATTTATCGAGCATTGTATAATCAATGCCATGAACAAATACAAATCTATCTACTCTTTGATTCGAAGAATGTGACGTTTACACACTCAATATTGATTTCATTTGCTATGATTAACTTAAAAAAAGTTAACAAGATACGATAGCAGATGCACTCTAGAATCCATTTCTAGCGTTAGTTTTGTGACTGAAAATCACACGAAATTATATTTCTGCTTGATAACAATAATAAAATGGTGTAACGATTTATACGTTTATATATGTATTTTTCATACAATGTAATTGTACCGTGAATCGATAAATATAGTACCTGGATGCTGCACCTTGCATATTGCTTATGATGACTCGACGTGATATTTTGTCACAAAGAAAATGTTACAAAAGTACAAGTATCCCGCGAGACTTTATCACTATTATTATTATTATTATTATTATTATTATTATTATTATTATTATTATATACCGGCAGCGTCTTTTTCGCATATCATTCTCTAGTCTTTCTCTATTGGTTGGTTGCCATTCTTTTTAATACATTCATTAAGATCTTTAACCTTCAATTTATATGGATATTGAACAGAGATGAAAAAAGATCTTTGTTAAAACCTTACATTGAATATTATATATTGAATGATCATTTCTTGAAAAATATCAATTTATATTCAACCATCTGTATTAGGAGTAGTATATATTGATAACGTTTATATTGCGCACACAAAGTAGTTAGATACATTTTCACAAATATATTTATATTCCAGTCTGTTTCCATATTTTATATTTTTATGTAAGAGTAATCATTTTTTTACGGCAGACGTCAATGTAACGAATCATTTCATTACGAGTTATAAATTCGCTCGCGCAATGTTTGTATTAGGATTTATGCGTAATGTGTTTGCCTATTATCGAAATCTGATTATACAATAGTGTACAATAAACGGTAGAAAATACCAAAGAACGTGCGCATGTCTCACAAGTTATAGATGAATTTAGCATATGCTTATCTGAAAAATTCATAATGAAAAAAAAAAATTTTTTTAAATAAATAAATATATATATATATATTAGATGGATACCATTAACATACTTAAATCAAAATTTCCTTCATCTTTAAACCAAGTATACAGTTATTTGAACCGAGTAAACAATATTCGGTTCAAATGAAGAGAATTTTTAAGTAAATATCTTAATGATATCTATTTAATAAATATTTATTAATATTCAGATATATTTTTTCAGTGTATATACAAAGTGTTTTGAAGGACATGTGTACAATGTACGGCAAACAGGAACTACCAGCAAAATAAACAAACATTTGCTCGTGTCACTTTTGTTTTATTTTATTAATATAAAAGCATTTTTTTCCTAAGTCAAACTTTATAAGTAGTAATTAACATACACACATACTATATTTCTCTCTCTCTCTCTCTATCTCTGTGTCAGTACAAACATACACATCTGCTAGATTAAATATATCTTAATTATACTCTTTATGCTCTTAGTTTTCCTTCTGGTTATAAGTAAAAAAAAATGGACGGACATGTTTCACTTTGGTACACATTACATTTGTCATCAGTTGTCTAATATCTATGGAAATGTACATAAATACGTAAAAAGATTTGTAACGCGAGTAAAACATGAACATTTCGTCAGTCTCAGACAATAAATTGCTTGATAAAATCCAATTTGTCCATTAACTGACTGAACGATAAAGCGATTGAACACTTGAATTGTTGAATTTGATGGACGGTTCATATAAAGATTCAATTGTATATATTTATTGCTTTCTACCTATAAAACAACCTCCCCCAAGTGATCAAGAAACCCACTGGTATGATCCACAAATTTTTGGTCGACATTGAAGATGTTGCTAGATTGCAGCCGTCGCCGGAACAAGTGAATACACAGGTACGATAGGTCAATTTGTCGCCTGGCTGTTTCACATAGTCGCAATAGTTTCCCATATCTACCGCTGAGCAAAATCGTTTTGTACCGATGCCACCTGTTTTTAGACATAATATGTTAGCGTCTCTTTTAAATTACAATTCAAACTAAATGAAATTTCGATTAACGGTATAGCGAAAGAGGTGCTGTACACAGTGGTGAGAGGATGTTGCGAAATGATATTATTGCTGCAAGTTTGATAAGTATATATCGACAGTTTTGCCGAAAAGCCTTTCGTGTTTTGTTAACACAATATCGAGGATACTTGCCGCGAGACTTTGAATTGATGACGCGAGAAAACAATGTTCAGAATTCTTGCGTGTAAATAAAAAGATATTCGAATAAAAGGACACTTGATCGCACGAGTATACCTGTAAGATGCCTCGAAAATTATCCTTTTTCTCGACAGTCAATAAAAAGCTATAAAACTAACGTAACACGCAATTTTCTTCTTTGATTTATTTTGCCACATGATTTTGCCACATGTATTTTACAATTACTTATTAAGGGAAAATGACAGTTTACGGAGCATTTCACAAGTATGCTCAAGCGATCTCAAGTGTTGTTTCGTGCAAATATTTTTTATTTAGAAGTGGCAAGCACAAGCAGCATGTCACTTCTCGCTTTTAACATCACAGTCCAACATGGCTGCGCGGTGAGTACCCAGGAAAAGAAAGAAAAACAAAGGAAATTTTTTTTCCTTTTATACCTTGAACAAACAAAGAATTGATCTTGGAAGTACGAGCATGAGCGGATAAGAACGAAAGAAATAACGACCATGCACACTCAACCACAACAATTCAGTGAAAATTTGACATAAAAACCTCCGTAACGGCCGACCGATTTGATGCAATAACGCGTCCCATAAATATGATTGCAATTTGTCGGCATCAAGGAATTTTCAACCAATTCACCATCCATACATTTCCATTCATCCTCTGATGTGCATTGGTAGCAATCCAAGGCAACCGCTTTGTCAATCAAGAAAGCACCCATTAAATTTCTAATCGAGTTATAAGCGTCTAATACGACGTTCGCATAAACGTGACATAAACTTGCTGGTTATACTAGGTGTGGACAAAACCTCTATGCTATGTGGGACTCGATAATGACCTAATTCGTATTAATGACTCGTAAGACTTCCCCTAACACCACCTAATCACCATAAAAGCATACAGTGTTATCGGTAGAAAAAAATTCAGTGCACAAACTTTTCGTCCATACCTCGTATATATCTTCAGAGAGAAAAGAAAAATGAAGGAGAGGAGAGGAGAGAGAAGTGGAAAAAAATCATTATTTACACACAATGACTTTTTCACAAAAACAAATGAAATAAAACAATATGGTTAGTGTGTTAATGTTTTTTTTAGCAGAAACGTAAGGATCGAACGTGCTGCAAGCGCGCAAGTCGAAGAGGATCACTCGAAGTCGCTTGTCGCAGTCATGCCCAATTAATCAGTTTTTCCCGCATCGCACTATGTTAGATTCTTAAACCTTAGTTCCCAGATTCGATCCCGAAAGATAGGTTTTACTATTTCATTTACCCTCGAAACGGCCTGTGTGCTTGACGCAATATTGCGCCCCGTAAACGTCATCGCACGCTTCCGGCTGCAAATCCACGTCACTCGATAAAACCTCGTTACATTGGAACGGATATGCGTTGCTGGTGCTATTGCATTGATAGCATCGGATGCTATGTCCTGAATGTGAAGAGCCAAATCAGACTACTATCGTTAGAAACAAACAAGCGTCTTTGCGAGTGAGCGATTTTAACACTGTCTCGTATCCTCGACAATTTTGTTTTTGACGAATGTACTTAGTGAGATTTAGACGAAAAGTAACGATGTTTTGGTAAAAATCCATACGGTCTGCTCGCGAAATGTATCTTGCTAAAATCTTGGATCGTGAAGACTCACAGATCCCACATGTATATATGCCCCACCCATATACAAACGGCGGTGACGTACTGTCGCATCGGCCGTTAACCTCACCTGTTTCTACCAGTAGTAAGAGTATCGCCAAAAGCGCGTATACGTTGTTGCAGTACTTGCTACCGGCGGCGACCATTTTGACAAATTGGAGTTTCGCGCGATGTTGAGAATCGGAGATGTGAAAAACTGACGAACAACACTTCACTCAGAGAGAGAAATGCGGTAGCAATGACTCGCGGAGGTTCGCACAGTTGCAACAAGAGAGCCGCCTTTCAAATGACTCTAGCGCCATCCAGCGGAATCAAGTAAATCTTCTTCGCACTTGTACCCAATGATTAGTTCCAAAGTTTCTCTTGGGAGCCGTCACTATCTTTGATGAAAAGTCGGCTTGGTAGTACAACTCGACGATGAAAGACTTCCTTTATTCTCAAGTGGCATAACTGAACAAGCCGATGACTTTACATTTTCAAGTCTTGATCATTGCACATCGAATTGAAAGTGGAAAGCACACACTCTTGCATAAAGGCATAATGAAGGATTCACACCGCGTCCAATGTCCGACGTACAACATCCGATATCCAATAGGAAAAGAGTTTTCTAATAGAAAATTCAATTCTCCATTGAAAAGCTGTTCTCTTATTGGATATCGGACGTCGTACGTCAGACATCGGACGCAGTGTGAATCGTGCAAAATGCAGGATTCACATTGTGTCGATGTCCGATATCCAATAAGAGAACAGCTTTCTAATTGAGAAATTGGAGAATTGAATTTTCTATTAGAAAGCTCTTCTCCTATTGGATATCGGATGTTTTACGTCGGACATCGAACGCGGTGTGATCCTGCATTAGTCTGGCCCCAGAACCATGGTGCAGGAATATATATTTCTCTCTTTTTCTGAGTTATTATTAACGTTATACACATACGTCAGATAGATCGTATCCGCCAATAGGAAAATAAAATATATTGTACAAAGTTGCATGTAATAGGTTATACCATATGCTATAAACATGAGCATCCGGAGATACTATTTATGCGAAAAAAAGCAGCTGCAAATAAAAATATCAGTTTACACAAATAAGGAAGCAGCTATCCAGGTTAGGTATATGTCACGCCGCACTGGCATTTTTACTTTATATATATATATATATATATATAACATCATCTGATCGCCGCGCCTACGCACTACGGTCAAAATACATTCCTCGGACATCGTCTGTCCTTCTATTCTGGGATAAGCTCCTCTAAGGCCCGTATCAAACTATCGACTGCACCGGCCGACCCGACTGCCTACTCTCAATGGACCAATCACAGTGAGGCGCTGACTCGGCACCTCACTGTGATTGGTTCATTGAGAGTCGGCAGTCGTAGTCGGCCGGTGCAGTCGATAGTCTGATACGGGCTTTAAGGGACGTCTACATTGGAAGTAAATAGTAAGAATAAGAAATTGACCAACCACAATCGAATGTGGGAAGAATAATCAACTATGATTGGTCAATTTCTTATTCTTACTTCCTACTGCTTACGTCCAATGTAGATATCCCTTTATAGGCAGCATAGGGCAATTAGCAATATAATAGTATTACACATATAATTAGGACAATATCTCTTTCTGCAAATATTTATAACACTCAAAACCTTTTTTTGTTTTGCTCATATTGCATTTGCAATTAGTGATATTAATGCAAGTAACTCCAAGTTTTGTTTATAATATTCGTTACTGATAATGCTATTATATTTTAATAACTATAAATAATGCCGATAATAGACATTTTGTAATGTCTTACAATTTTTTCTGAATTGCTGATAAATGTCTCGAAATTCAACTGATGATTTAGTAGCAATCAAATTATATATAATCTTGCGTTTCAGCAACAACTCACCATATATTACTCATGTGCTCAACGCGCTTGACACTCGATGCTCCTATGTAAAGGCACCTTTGCAATTCTACAATTCTAATAGCAAATTCGGTTCAATTCAACTCGTGATCAATTATCGATCACAAGATAAACAGCTATCGATATCACGTCCGTCAGGACGCAGTTTGTCCTTTATTATGTACAAATGTATTTCTTATGATGTACAAGATAGCTAAATCATAATGCTTTTCAGACTGATCACTGATTCGTCAACCGCTGTCGCTTAGCGGCTCGTTCTTCCAATTCGACATAATGCTTGTTGAACATTAATTTTAACGTCGGGTACATCAAAGGCAATAGCGGCAATTGCGACAGGCTGACCTGCATATTATCGTATGCGATACCGACATTACGTAGATCATTCTCACTTTGTGGCAAGTGAGGTATAGCCGCGTAGCGTTGGCTAAAGTGCGTCAACAGCGTAAACTTCGACCTCATTTGTTGACCCATTTGTATGGCCTGCGACACCGTCGAATGATACTTCATCTTTGCTTCTTTTACGAGATCGTCCTCCATCGTCGCTTCGTGAATCAATAGATCGCAGTCTTGTCCGAGTTTCACGAGACTCTCGCAGGGCATAGTATCGCCGCTAGAAAAAAAAGAAAAAGATCATATATCTCTGTAAAATGATTTGTTGTTGCCGCCGCTGCTGCTGCTACTAAATGTAATGTCTACACAGCTTTATTCCGAACTGAAAAGGGATGATGAAAAGGATCGCGACAAATCTCACGCTCACCTGTAAACGATTTTCTGTCCATTATTGAGCTCTATGGAAACACCATAAGAATAAGGACAATGCTTGACGTATACTGTCCTCACGACTCGCACATTCAGGTTTTTATACATGTTCTTATATTGTTGCTCCGACGGTCTATGTACGTCCATGAAGAACTCGCTGTTTGATATCAGTGTTATTTGATGCAAAATAGGTTCGAAGCGTTTGTGATAAAACTGCAACCACGCGACGATGTGTCCCGGCGCCAACAGGTACAAAGGATCTTGCGTGACTTTCCTTCTTTGTTTTATCAAGTCAATCAATCCGATGTGATGATCCGCGTGCAAATGTGACACGTATATCGCCTTAAATTCAATCGTGGTGAGATCAACAAGATTAAATTTTATTTTACGTCCGGAGCAAAACTTTTATCAATACGATCGGTACGAATCTTTCACAAGTATAATAAAAAAATTATTGGATTTTTCTTGAAATATTTTTCAACATCCATTGTCAAAGTTCAGGGAGCAAGTAACAAAGCATATTGCACAAAATGATCCTTTTCTTGTACATTACTGTGTACATTTGTACCCTTAGAAAACAAACCGCTCTACAATGGAGTTTACTACGATTTTAACAACTTGCTTCTAGTTTATTAGTTACGAGGGAAGAAAAACGATTCTCATACCTTGATTGACTGCATGATATTATGCGTCTCGGATCTTCCGTAAAATTTGACAATCTGCCCGAACGTACCCTCACCGCAATCCAACAACATACTATGGCTCTCGTCTATTTGCAGCAATATACCGCTCGTATTTCTGACTTTATTCGGTATGCTGGAGCCAGTGCCCAACATAAGAATCTTTGGGTAATCGTTCACAATAGATAACGATTTTGTCTGGGCGTTGATGTTGGTCTGTAGCTCCGCCAACGCGTCTAAAAAGCCATCGATCTCGAATATCTCGTTTATATATTCCTGCGGATGCAGCGATACCTCGTTCTCCGTATCAAACTTTAGTTCCGGTTGCAGATGGATGGTGTGATGTGTTCTGGGACGATGTATGATGCACGGATCCCCTGTCTGAGAGAAAGAAAACACGTGATATTTGCGCGATCGTTTATAGCAATAGGAAAAAAAATATTCGACCACACTCCTGGATATATCTCCCCAAGTCGCATCGCGAAACGAGTTTGTGAGCTCGTTGTCGAGCAGTTTTCAGCCACTTTCAGCGAATTACGATTACGACAGACGAACGCGACATCACCGAATTTACAAACGATCATGGGATCTTTGCAAATTACACTAATGCTTCAACTATCTTGCTCTAATTCTAATTGAATTACAGCCTGCTCTTGTCAACATGCAAACTGCGCGGCTAACCCGTGTTTTTTTCTGGAAGCAGTCCTCGTTCAAGAAGGGAAATATCTCGGGATGCAGCATGTGGAGTTTATGCTGATGCTTGTGACACGCTTCGGTACCCATACACTCGTTCTCTTCATTTACGATTATGTGACGCGTGTAGGGTCCAAATTTTCCCATCCAGTCTACGTAACGAGAATCATCCATCACATTCTGCGATGTGAAATGAACGACGCAATACGGCGCGTCGTCCTCTTTCAATGTCGCAGTTTGTAGTCGCGTAAAAGCAGGATGATTCACAAAGGATTCCAGATAATCCTCCGACGGGCAATCTACAACTGCAAATCCAATTTCAAGCGACGAAAAATTTTCAACAGAAGAAAAATTAAGTGGAAGGTGCAAAATAAAACAGTACATCTGAAAATCGACATACCTAAGAAAGTGGGACCTGGTGTCGGCGGAGAGCAAACATCCTTGCTTAAAACTACCGTGCCGTCCTCCAAAGTGACATCCTTACCGGCTTTCAGCTGACCGAGTAGAGGACCAGGTTTCACACCCTTTTCCACACATGCCTCCAGCGACAGTTTGCCTTGCCGCGGATGCAATTTGCAAATATAAGACATCACTTGTGATATCAATTTCTTATCAGAGTTTTGTCCAATCGTCGAAAGATGTCTCTTTTTCTCTTTTATACTTTCGAACATTTTTCTGGTGTTTGATTTGGTCACATAGTCATAGTAATTAATATTGTCGACCACTTCCTCTCCTAAATCGGTAGACCCCATATTGTACTTGATCGATTTTGTAATGGGAATGTACGAAACGGACATGACCTGGTCTGTGTACGGCTGCGACTCGTCGCACGTGGCTTCGTGAACTCTTAAATTTTGCAGTGACACAAATCTCTTGATTGCGTCAAAGATCTCTATGGTATCTTTGGGTCCATGTACATGGATCTTTTGTACTCCGGTATCTTGTATCGTTAGCAACATTCCTGGCATGCCACCCAAGTTGTCCCAGTTGGCTGATGTTATAAACACATGTTCCAGCTTGACTAGTTTGTACTTGTGCTCGTGCGCCAGCTTCTGCGTTCCCTCTCCACAGTTGAAGATGTAGCTAGTATTACCTGCCGATAGATAAACGCATCTTGGTGCACCACAAGCTCCGCTGCCCAGGACCTGCAAGAGCATTATTCTTCGATATAAAAACACACATACACAATAATGGAATGTCTGTACGTTCCCCATCAACTTCTAAAGCTTCTAATCAAACTTGGACCAAATTTTACACACAGATGAAAATCTATAGTAAATTTTACCTCTTCTCCCGAATTTATACCATTGACACTTGATAATCCGGCTAGCATCAAGTAGTTTAAGCTAGTGTGTGCGCATATACAGTTAATGTTTATACAATATTATTTCAACAATGGTCGCATTCACACGTACCGTTATGATGCAACACTAACCTGCAACGACACGTTCGCACTGCAGACATATTTGATAGATTTTTTCTTGATCTTTTGCCGCAATCTCTGTATGTCAGAAATGCGCGACGGAGAGCGCAGCATATCTCTGTAATTCCTGCTATGAAGTATGAAATCTCGCTGGAAATTACAATCTCCAACACGGACTGGTATTAGCGTGTGGTACTTGCACTGACGTATGATATGACGCACGAGTGAGTATACGTTAGACTTCATTCGTTCTGCCTTTCTTTCTTATTGTTACACGCGTTAGGAATATTCGCTAAATATGCTAATCAAATCGTATTCGTGCGATAGTATAAAATCATAACCTAGGTTAGGGCTCACACGTGCACTGACATATATTACACGCGCAACACGAGCGCAGTGTGAGCACGACTGGGAGTGCACAACACGCGGATATACGGGGGATGTGACACGTGACTTACGCCGTAGCTAATCAACCTTCCGCTTTTTCGAAAATGTTCGATGCCTCGACGCGGAAGCGCCCAGCCTCACACGTAGAGACGTACACAACGTCGAGTGTACATGACGCCGAGTGCGTTTCGTTAAAGACTGTAGCGATGAATCAGACAAGTCGTCGTAACTTGTTTGTAAATACGTGTAAATATTCTGTCTGAGCATCGCTGCTGCTGCTATTACTACTGCTACTGCTGCAACTGCTGTTCGATACGGCGCTAAGGTCGATTGGTTCGTTTTTTCTTTTCTTTTCTTTTTTTTTTTTACATACGTGAATCGTTTTCAACTGGTCGCATATTACGTTCGTGCTTTCGCTCAGCGCAACGCACAACCAGCAGCACTTGTTGAAATTCGGAATTTCTTCCGAGTTGGAAGTCTTGACAGCTAAGAAGCTCTCTGTTCCTAGCACCATTACTGCCTTTGTTCACTCCCGAACATATCAAAATTCTCAGCTACGTACGTATTATACGCACGTATATGCGCGCGTAATCATACATCTTATGCTAGACTCATTTTTGGCGAACCTTGTCAGATTTTTCGAGTACGATGTCAGGTTATAGCTCTCCGACACTTTGAGTTGAGATAAACCCGCGCGCTGTGTGACATTACATACGTGATTCTATGTACACGGTAATACGAGGAAATGTTGGAATATTTATGAATTTTTTTCAATCGTGGTAAACGAGGAATGCATACGTAAGATGTACGATGTACAGTATGTTTTGCAGGTGCATGGACAAGCTGAGATCAAAGGAGCACGATGCAACCGCCGTTAGTAGCTACACCCCGAAAATTACCAGTCTTTGTGTTTCCACAAAGCGTTACATTCTTCTTAGACAACCAGGCAACTCACAAACAAGTGCTAACATTGTATAACCCGTACGACTTTCCTGTAAAATTCGAAGGTATCTATCTATTCTTTCCAACGCGAATCTTTCATTTATTCATTTGTGTTATATCTTAGTTTTATGCACCGCACCAAACAAGTACAAGGTTGTCGATCCAAAAGGCACAATAAAAGCTAGATGCTGCGTTGATATTGTCATCAGACATACAGCACCATTAACGAGCAATTGCAATGTAATTGATAAGTTCAGAATACACATGCAAGAACATCCTACTAAACAGGTGATAGTCTTTACACAGCTAAATACTATTTAGAAGAAATCATGAAAAGTAGATATTTTTTCACCTATGTTTCATCGTGTTAGGCTATTGGTAAACGAGATGTCGAAGCTAAACTACTCTCCGGAACAAGCGATATTGTCGGAAGATCAACACCGGATCCAGATATGTTTCATCAACTCCCAATCAACGAAACGACAAGGCAACAGCAATCTTATGCGCTTATAAGCCAAAACAGAACAGTGGACAGTGAGTACATGGCAGTTACAAGGATGAATTATTTTTCCCAATATATTGTTGCATCAGTAAAATGAGAATTTGGTGATACGTAATCTTCCACTAGTATCAAATTGGCAAGATGCCCTTTTGTTTCTGCACATATAGAGGGAGAATGCATTTTTATCAAGTGTGAATCAGTCCTGTAAAAGTATCAATGTGTGTGTGAGCAAGCAAGTATTGATACTAGACATCTACTCGAGAAGAAAATTCTTAACCGGCACAAGAATACACATTTCTGTACAGACAGTTTTTCCTCAGCATGCAGATTGTATTTCATGTTTCAGGGGGTACAAATTATGTAGCGCTTGTCTCAGGAATTATATGTATAGCCGGACTACTCTTACCTACAGAAGGTGAACAGAGTAATAGAGTGCCTGATTATCTTCATCTCTCTATGAATTTTAAACTAATATTCTCATTTGTGTTAGGTAAGCATACACAACCTATACTTGGGGAATTACATGAGACACAAGGTAATCTTGTTTTGCTACACACAGGTATGGTGGTAATTGTCATTTCAAAGATATAATCCATGGCTTTTTACACGTAAAGAGCAACTTTGTACGCGCAAGATGGATTAACGTGGGATAAAAGCACAATTGATATAAGACTCGTTTATATTGGGCCTCCTTTCTTACGAGATATATACCCGACTCTAGTCTACAGGCCCCGATAATATTTCAAGATTGTATCGTCTGAGATATTTATTTGCTATGCAGAAAATGTGTTGTTTTCGGGAAGGCTCTCTCGGTACGGTGTAGGATTCTGGCTCGTGAGCTATATATTTCCAGGCCTACTGGAAAATCAACGTAATGTTATTAATTGCAGCGTTCGCGAATTACGCGTTTCTTTGTACGTATGTGCGTGCGTACGTGCGTGCGTATGTGTGCGTGAGTGAAAGAGAAAAGAAAAATGAGTGCGTGCGTACATGTATCGAAAAAAATAAAAATCGCTTTATACAGATAAATTGTTTACAATGTAATAAAACACACACATGTAACATATAACAACGCTACTCATATCCGCCTTGCTAACTCTTTCGTCTTGAGAATCTTGATGTTGTATATAAAACTATTGTGATACACTTTTTCATTCATTCAATGATCATCTTGCGACATGATCTCAGCTGGTCTTCCTGTATATAAAGTTTGCTTGCGTTTTATATATTAAATGTATGTGTCTGCAAACAGTGGAAACAAGACTGTGAAAAAATTGAGATATCAATGGCTGATGTAGAGAAATGAAGCAAAGTAAAATCTTTGTGGAAAGATTAGGTATAGAGATAGGAGGAAAGAAATTACTCATTTTTGCGAAATTGGGAATAGATGAAATGTATAAAAATAATCATAATAACGAGTAATTTCCATATTGCACAGTTTGGAAATAAGAGCATTTATTTATTACCAATGTGTATCTATTATTTACATAAGTTACAATACAGACACTTGTGAATAAAGTGTATCGTCAAGTGGATGTGTTTTCGATTTGTCTTATATTTTTTTTATATCCTGTCAAACAGATGTGCGATCTTCCGGGAGCTATATTTTCAAAGATAAACAAGATTAGAAAGATATCAAACTATTGTTATAAGACACTATATCGTTCACATTACTGGGCAAGTTTGCTCGTAACGTACCTCATATCGAATATCGTACGGGTTTAGAGCCGATGTACATTCTTCAAGCTCTCATTGTGAGTTTTGTACTCCATAGAGGCACTAGTTGGAAGATGTAATACTCTTCTTAACGTATCTCTGATTCGTGCGGTTGTCGCTACATCCGATGCTGTCTTGTTCCATACACATATTATGTCTTCCTACTCATAAGAACAATTACTCAATCTACCTCGACAGCGACATTGCTTGCAAGAGCAAGCCATAAAGATTGTTTACCTGAAACCTTATAGATACAACAGCGCCGCATATTTCTTCTCCTACCATAAATTGCTCTCCTAACATTGCCAATATGAGATTTTCCCAACATCTAGACACTAAACCTTTGCGTAATCTTACTATCCATTTACCACCTTTTTGATTGGCTTCATCCTGCAAAAGGAGGAACAAAATCTCGATACATGGTGTGTAATGCGCGGAGATACGGCTCGCTTACCTCCCACATGGGCTTTATGCCAACTTTGAAGAGATGAAAGTCTGTATGCGTTGTCAGTTCTGAAGGTCGTACCAAGTGACTGTAGAGACCCCAGAACTGTTCCACACTCGCAAATCTACCGACCAACTTTAAATTTTGGTCGTAACTTTGTATGCTGGTTTGTTTGCCAGGACTGCGTCGACTGTACCAGAGTGCATAAGCATACTGTAATTTGTGTTCGTTTGGACTTATCTCTATCGGAGGCTGCAAACACACAGAGAATTACTTGTTAGTCGTGAGATATGCCCCTCATAAAGTGTTGTAAGTTCCATTGACCATTTCTCTCATTTCTCGTGTCACTCACTAATGGACCCTTGTCGACTTTTTGATTATCCTTTGATTGGGACTCCTCGTCACCGCTGTCTTCGGCGGTAGCCTTCAATCTGTAAGCGCTGTCAATTTATGAGTCAGAGATAAGTCATATTATTCATACCTTGTATCTTGCAATAATACAGAACGGAGCAAAGCGAAAAGAAATTACGTTCCGTATTAACCTTGCCATATGTTTCAAACGTATCAACGACATTCTTATATCGCAGCAATTATGTAGATCATCGTCGTCGTCGTAGTCGTCGCCGCCGCCGTCGCCGCAGCATCATCTCGATACCGCCTACTATCCGCTTACCACGATTTGTTACCACAATCAGAGTAATCGTCGGTTTACACGCCGTGTAGATCGCGAGCGTTGAATCAATTTCCACGAGAGTCCAGACAGATACGTCGCAGATATACATGTAGGATCGAGGTGAAGCTTTGGTTAGACGGCTGCGAATTGAGACTCTCGAATGACTGTTTACGCGAACGTGTCGCAAACATTTATTTAGCGTGCGATTGTATATATTCAAAACATGTCTAACCTCGAAATACCGTCCATGGGGACACGCACGATGAAATAAAGGAGAACAACCAAACTCTCACTTACGTTTCGAATTTATTGGACATGTTTTCAGTTGCTCAGATACAAACGTACAAGCGGATATCGCTAAATGCAACAAACGACGAGTATATATATCCCACTTTTAAAAGAGCATACAAATATAAAAGATTCCTCTCTCTCTCTCTCTCTCTGACTCTTCTTTTCTACGCGCACGTTGCGAGCTCTCGCATCTGCTGCTGCGGTGTTTTCAATGACAAATTGTTGATTTTTTCTAGCACCTTTTTTTCGTCTTTTTTTCGCTACTCTACCATCAGAGATTTTATACTCGTACGTTGGTCATACCAAAGAGAAGCATGAGAGCGGCCACCAGCCTGATTTCAATGGCCAGAGCTAGGCGCTGAAGTCACTTGATATATAAAAGGTGCGTTCGAAGAGTTTGCTATTAGCGCTATTCAGCGCTACCATGTCATTCTATCCTTATTGTTTATCTAAGGAGCGATAAAGATAGAAGAACGCGGTAGCGTGCTCTCCGAACACACCCAAAGTACCGCAATCATTCACCATGTGTATTCTAGCCACATGCGGTTGGTTCAAAACGTCTAAATTTGTATGAATATATTGCGTAAAGTAGAGAAAAATAATAAATAACAATCTCGCAATCTTCTTCTTATTTTCTGCATTATGTTATCCCGATATACCATAAGTAAAACTATCATTAAATTTTCCATTGTACGTTTTTCCCGTTATTAGGTGGTTACTTTAAGTGATTTAGGCACTAACGTTATTTTGGCTTTAAGCGAAACTTAAACATGTATCTATCTTTATCTTTCTTTCTAAGTAAATAAAGACAGACACATATTCAAGTTTCGCTTAAAACTAAAATAACATTAGTGCAATAGGGCTTTAAATCTCTTCAGTCTCAAGAACTAATTACAGTAGATTATTCTCCAAAAATTGTACTGTGATCGGTTAGTTTTTAAGACTTAAAACTTTAATCACCTAATGTAGAACCGAGGTTAAACTCGTTTTTCCCGTTACTGCTTCTCGATTTCATCTTTTCGACATGAAATTTCGTGTCGAGTTCATTCACGCGAATCTCGTATTTTCGCAGGGTGAGATAAATTGTAATTGGGCGAGTTGCTCACTTTCGTCATTTTCACCCAATCAGAGAACCGTAATAGCCCTCCAATGCAGGAACTCTGTAACTCGATATTGGAATTAACGACAGTTTTGTTATCGTTGCGCAGCTTTTGTATACTGTAGAAAAGCTGCGCAATAATAACGAAACTGTCATTAACTCCAGTAACGAGTTACAGAATCCCAGCACAGGTCACGTATGTAAGGTCCTTTTAAAGATGGCGGACGATATTTTTCCAACCAAACAATCCTTAATTAAACTATATATTTAGCAGTCTAGAAGAAGACTTTTATTATATAGGAGTCTGTGCAATATATATCATTCCTCTCATCCCTTGGGCTTCACCCTCGCGACAATGTGCTCCGTCCATGGGTCCATCTCATTCGCAACACACTACGCGCAATCAGTCATTCAAATTGAATCGAGCGAGTGGTTCTTTACGTAAATTATCGTCCACTTTTAGGATTCGTTTTCGAGAGGAGAGGAAACTAGGCATCGAATTCGTTTCGGCTCCGTGCCTATCTTTTTATTGAGAAAATACTGCTGTAAGTATATGAAAAATATTTTGTTCGACATGATATTCTAATGCCTTTGTTAATTCACTTTGATATCGGTCATTGCGAATTCCCACTTGAGTCTCTTCATGATTTCTTTTCGCTGATACATGACTTCCATGTAGCATAGAAATGACAACGCGATCGGGCATTCGTACTGCACGGTCTCGATACATTTCGTATCTTTCTCACCATCCACATCGAATCTGAATTTCGAAACTGACTCCACTGAAATACGAACAAATCGTACTGAATCAGAAGTAATATGAGTGCCGTATCTCGAATCTCACGATCATCTCGGAAAAGAGGAGAGGAGAAAGATTATAGTTTACTCACAGCATCCGAGATCAAGGAAAAAGCAAGTCCGATGCTTGGAACTGATAACGTAGCCGTCGTTGTCCGGTCTTACGGCGTATTGGCCGTATGCTACGTTACGAATTATCGGCAGATGGCTCAAGTGTTCCGTGTATCGCACGGTATACTTCCAATGATCGTAATTACCGCTTTCCGCGATCACGCTAAAGTCTTCTCTGTAATTTATATGCGAATTTACGTATAAACAGAATTGATTATTAAAAAGAGAATAGAGGAAAAAAAAAAAAAGAGTACCCTCTCCAAAAAAAAAAGAAGAAACGCGCAATGTAAATGTAGCGTAATCTATACGTAAGATTAATTTTTCCTTTCTTCTTACTTTAGAATCATTTCAATTCTTCCCTCGCAAAACACTATTTAAAGATAATTTTTACTTACATCGTAGGGTTCAATTTTTTCATGTTACTAAAGTCTGCCACAAATTCCCACACGTGCTTAGGATTTGAGTTATTTACGACAATCTCATGTATCACTTGATACTTCTTCTTGTAAACGAATAGTATGTAGAACAGCAAAGTTCCTAGGACACCGTATACGACGGTTCTCGTTTTCCATTTCATGGGATTGAAACCCATTTTCTCTCTTTCTCTCTCTCTCTACTGGAGCAAAAAAAAATAAGCAGAAAAGGGAAAAACAAAAAAATAATACACAAGAAGAGAAGGAAAACGCACTAGCTGGCAAGAGGAGAGTTTAAAATCACTTACTCCAGACGCAAACCAATGAGAAAACAATGCCACATGATCCTTCTGATTGAGTTTTGCACTTACCACTGTTGCAAAACGAAACACCTGATCAACTTGATACTGCGGATACTTCCGGTCGATAGTCACGTTATCAGTGTTGATACGAGAGAAACGACAGGATAGGAAGAGACCGGAAGCCGGGTGGTAACGATCGCAGACTCGCCTCGGTTCTCCGTTCGTTACGCACCAGTTGCGAGACGCCTTCGTCCTACCGGCTAACCAGCCTTCTCCGCTTCGCCGCTACGTCACGCTACGACGTGCATACACGATATGTGTCCCAGGGCCGGCGATAGGCTTATTTGAAGGCAGTGTTGAGCGTTATTTGAACCTTGATTCTCCTCGACTTGACGACAACATCGATATTGTACTCACAAATCATTCGTTCGAACGAACCTTTTCACTCGAGTAAACGTTGCTTGTTCTTTCTCCAAATTCACGAATAAAACGGAAAATAATTTTCTTCAGGTCGACAGTCCGATAACTTTTCAGTCTAATTGTCGAGTAGGATCGCAATTAGATTCGACGCGTCAAGAATAAGATTTCACTCAAATAAATGTTGAGGCAAAAATTTATTCCTTGTTATAACGGAAGTCCGAAACAACTAGTTTGTTAATCTACACTTAGACGCATTTTAACGGAAATAAATAGACACATTTTATACAGTATTTCGTTTGTATAAGCGATTTCCAAATCAAATAACTTTACAGTAGTTTCTGAGCCAATGAATTCGTTTTAGCAAGCTAAGATTTTGCGTGCGACGACAGCAAAGTCTCCATTTCACGAGGTGCAGACATGGACTTGAAATTCAATAGTCTCGTTAAGCCATTCTGATAGCTCACCATAAGCCACAAATAGCTCCATGCGTTTGGATTCCAAACCACCTAAAAGATTTATTTCGTCTTACCGAACGTTTTGTTGCCAATTATATTTGTCTTTTATAAACGACAGAGTTATCTAACCAAATTGGAGTCAATTTTCCCTCAGCAAGGAATGCCGAGGCGCGATATATCTCGAATTATAGGGAAGAGAGGGATTTTTCGCATCAAGCTTAACAGTAAGCCAAATGGATACCTAATAAAATTCACTTTGGAGAATTTCACTTTGCAGAATTTCAATTCAAGGTTTGGTAACACTAGGATTTGTTTGTTTGTTTGTGTTGTAGAGGGGCATAATTTTTTTTTTTTAAATCAACTCCATTCTGTAAAGGTAAACAAACTCACCCTGTTCACAGATGTAAATGGATGCTGTTCAATAGGAACGGGTATCAACTTTTCATTGTACAAAATGTCCTGCTGCTTATCCGTTTTGACGTTCCCTTTCAAGTTCTGTACGACAGAAAACCGTTTTACAACATCGTACAAATCATTATTAAAATCAATCGCTTACCGTCAAATTGTCGTGAAAGATAATGCCGAAACGGTCTTTGCATTCGTTGTAGTCTGCCGGCATATAACGATAATCCTTGCAAGTCTTGTCATTTTTATCGTCATTGTTCTCGCTAGACAAGTTTTGTTGTTCTTTTAAAAAATCTATTGTTTTAATGACGGAATTTAACTGCGCCAAAGAAGAGATCCAGAAGATGTTACGAAAAAATGAAAAAAGATTTCCAATTAAAAAAAAAGTAATGCATATATATGCGAACGTAGCGATCTGATATAAAAGTTTTCTTCTTTTTACCTGCCTTTTCCTGGGTAGAAATTTGTCCGTATATAATAATTGATGAGGGAATATGGTTAATATTTCTCCAGCTAATGTACCATGTGCAATACCGTTGGCATAGTCGGAAACGGTGACAGTCTGAAAAGTAAAATCTCATTCAAAAGGATATTCAGAAGATATCCCTTTGCACAAAAAACGCAAATAACACATGAATGAGTGAGCTTACGTAAGTCGGCGAATTTGTCGCCAAAATCGGACAATATTTATATCCGTGTTCTCTCAGAGGTATTATATAGGAGTGCGTACAATTTAATCTAAAATTGCAAGTGGGACGATCAGTTATCGTAGCGAATCGTTAGTCGCATATGATAAAGTGACAAATTTACCCAAGCGCATCGTCGAAACTAATAACGGAGCAGGGCCAGTGTGTCATCCACGCACCGTCGACTATTATGCCTTTCTTCGAACAGTTTTGCGGCACGCTCGTCTCTTCCAAGTCCCAAAATTTATACGTTCTATCTACACTAGCGGAAGCTAGATATCGCTTCCCATGGTATGGAACTAACGCTATCACTATGCGGCAAAAGACAATCCAAAGGTAAAGTCGTCGTTTTTCTGTCGGCTCGCTTGCATATCGCACTGAAATTATTGCACTTACTGCTGACTGCGTTATGATGAGCGAAGAAATGCTGATACGCGTCTATAAATCTCGTGTCTTTCCGTACGTTGAGCAATAGAGGCGAGGTGGTTGTAAGATACCACAATGCTATGTAACCATTTGTGAAACCAGCTGCGATGATACTAAAAAGATATTTGTTATTTTTTTTTAAATTATATAGGAAAATCTTCTAGAGACGCGAAAGAGCTTTGAGAGGAACGGTATAAAATATTTTTCGACGTTACTCGTGCCCGTGTTGCTTCGTCCATGATAGCTTGCTGCACTGCCAATTTTGCTTGTTGTTATCATACATGGAAAGATTTACCACTAGTGTTGCTACCGGCTCGGTCTTGTAAATCGGCCACCTTGAAACACATAGAACAACTGTTGCAAACAACATACTGAAAGTCAAGTCGCAATGAGGAAGTCAACTCACGAATTATGTTCCGCTCTTTCGAATCCGAGCTCGTCCGCAAATGGTAACGAATAAATATTTACGCAACCGTCGGAACATGCTGCCGCGAGCAGTCCCATTCGTCGGAGTTTTCCTTTTTCCGCTTTATAATTACAAAGATCGGTATCCTGATAGCATCCAGACGGACACCATTCCAAACACCAAACCGTACCGCTGTTGTGCACAATCGCGTACGCTAAAATAGGGGATCGGTTTGTGCTATTACTTCTGGAAAGAGCATACAAAACGTATAATCTTAGTAAAAATTACTCAATAAGATAATCTCACGATCGTAATCAAAGATTGCGTTATAAACGGTTTATAAACCGTTCCAAGTACGTTTTTGTTTTATCGAGTAAATAAAAAAAAGAAAGTGCCTTTTTGCAACTCTAATATCCGTTGTTTTCGGAACACACATGCAATCTAGAAGAAAAAGAAAGGAAAATCAAAGCTCTACACTTGTAATGTCATTATGAACTTACACGTGATCCAATGGCCCGACATCCCATATCTGTATGATGTTTGATTCTGAATAACTCTTTCCTATTGCGTACTCGCTTCCCATAGTGGGATGCGTGCTGATTGCGACGTATTGTGTCGGAATTTTAGCGTATATAGATAACGGAATGGGTAACCAGGCTGACGCCCATATGGGACCACCGGAAAAAAAAGTCGGCACATCTGAAACGAGAGCGACAATCATCGATTAAACGAATTGAGAGAGAGAGAGAGAGAGAGAGAGAGAGAGAGAGAGGAGACATCTTATCTTATTATTATTAAATACTTCAACAGCATGTGATTCGCACGATTAAACTTGCGTAATGTACCGCCACAAATGCTGCCCTCGAATCTGCTCATACGCTTCCAGTTATCGCTAACAGAATCTTCCGACGAATTAATATTCACACATTTCATAGCCATTGAACTCGTCAGCTCCGGGAGGTACTTTGCGCTATCGTCATCTCTTAATAACATGAAAACGTTTGGCACATAATCTTGGAATAGATCAAGTTCGAAGTTTTCTAACTCGCTATTGCAAAATAAATTACGAATTAGCAAGAGGGATATACACACACACATATATATTTTTCTTGCTCAGTAGAAAATAATCAAGCGCTTACAACTTCATGGTCCAATTTAAAGCTGGCCTATAAGTTTTAGTTGATTGCGGCCTTTGCATTGGCTCTCTACTCAAAAAAGACGCTTTATTGCTGGTTCCTAAAATTTAATACAAATGCAATGTATTTTATATTTCATATTCGCGCGCTCTCTTTTATTAACGATTCCAAGATCCTCATCAATCAGCTGTTAAATGTCAAAGTAGTATAGTATGTTTGTTCGACTTACTTGTACTGTCGGAGCTCACTTGCGTTAACTTGAACGAACGATTTTTTCGTTTTGTGTCATACTCAATTATACTGTCATCTGATGAATTTACTTCGTCTTTCTCAAAGTCGGAATCTTTTTCAAAGTTTTCCCCGTTTGTATGAGATTCTGTTATATGATTCTCAATCTTGTCTCGAGAATCTGCCAAAAACTTGCAGATTTTGCACATATAATTCTAAAAAAATAATGAAAAGAAGTAACTTGATTCATGTTCATCTTGAATGTAATCAGATGTAGCTGCAATTGAAAAAGTAAAGTACCTTTTGCGGAATAAAGTTACATTGAGAATAATGTTCACAGATACTTTCGTAAGAGGAACACGTGTAAGTGCATCCCATTTGCTTGCAGGATACAATACCCTGCGAAGCCAATTCTTTCCTCCATATACCTTTCCAAACAAATGGTATTTTTTTCTTGAGTTCCGGCACTTGTATTGCATTTTTCTAAACATAAAAATGTGTTCGTGTCATATCAAGTGTCCTTCTTTTACTTTCTTTCTCAATTTTTCATATTCCATACACACATACACACACACACACACACATATATATACATATCTTCATGACCAAGTTTCAACATTCTCTCAAGGTATTTCCTCGACTGTCTATTTTGTATTCGCGAGTGCTTGCAATTGTTTTTTTTGCATAAACCTATCCTATTCGTGATATTTAACCATCGGAAAATTACAAGCGCCTCGATATCGAGAGAGAAAGAGTCATTTTAATGTGTTTCACAAATTGACTGAAGAATTTGTCATTAAAGCGCACGTTATGTATATATCGTATACTTATATTAATTTTATGTATACACACACACGCACGCACGCACGCACGCACGCACGCACACACACACACACACACACACACACACACACACACACGTACTTTTGAGCATGTTTACATAAACATATGACAATAAATGTTTCAACGTACAAGAGTGGCCGATTCAAGTTTGATTCTTGTCGCGCATGGATTTTGTTCCCTCATAGATTCGGCAAACTGTTGTATCTTTGGAATTGCTCTGTAATTGAACTCATTTGATCAATTGTGCCTTATACATGTATATTTGCAAAGACAATAGAAAATGCACAAACACAGATTTGTTATTTGCGTGCAGTTTCTATTGACAACAATAATATCCAATTTACTTTTCTGCCGCTTTTCGTTTCACCTTCTCTGTCAGTATAACCGATACCTCCTTATTTTTATTTCGTTCCGATTGTCTGTGCCAACGTTCGTGCATTTCCATTGAGGAAGGCATCATAACAGAGTTGCAAATTGGACACGTCATCATCAATGCTTGTCTTTCCTATGATAAAAAGTAGAGTTGAACTGTATAAGTTGCGTCAAATATACACTATACATGTACACGAATTGAACTTCTAATTTAGAGTAAAAACTGTCACGGCTCTAAAAATAAAACAAAATTGACGATATTATAAAAAACAACAAAAGCCAAGTACAGATGTTATAATTTAAACCAAGTGCTTGAAATAATACAAAATATATTTTGATCATTTGATATAGTCCTCTTCAGTTAATTGTTAAATGTCAAATAATGTAATTCCAATGAGAAAAGACACAAGATGTCATATTTTGTTAGTTAGTTCTTTATAATATTGTTAATCTCTTCTATACTCACTTCCTCTGTTTTTCCACAAAATTTGATATGCGATATAAAACCATTGGCACTTAGTTTCACAACTCCGCAGTCCTCACAAGTTAAGTTCCTTTTTTTCTTAACAGCACACGCTAGCACTTTTTTTAACAATTTAATGTCATTGTCAAAGTCCTGTAAAGATTAATACTTATAAAGATTTTCACAAGCAGCTTGTCGCGTTATTAAGAATTATGTTATTACCAGTTTTACTTCACCCTGTCGCCATGCCATGTTATTGTGTCGATACATGTTGTGCGAGGGCCATTGTTTTCTTGGCACTTGCTGTTTACACTTAGCACATGTCACCATTTGTATCTGTGCAAATAAAAGTTTTTTAGTCGAGTGCAACAAATGCAATAAAAGTGTACATTTTTTTCCAAACATACTTGCGCAACTACTTACGTCTTTCTCGATATTCTGAGCATCCGAATCCGGCGTTACGGCGTCCTTGGTATTTACGACAGTAAACTCTGCCGCCGCTGTTGTGCTGTCTAAACCCGACTCGTTCTTTACTGCTTTCGATTGAGAAGCATCTCTTTTTTCGGAGGTTTTAGGTGTGTATTCCGTATCTGAGGAATCTTGCTCTGTTCCTCTACCTCTACCGCGACCACGACCTCGACCGCGACCGCGACCTCGACGATGTGTCCTATACTCAAAAAAAAAGAATTACTACAATGGCTAATTTTTACTAGCTGTATACAAACTTTCTCTCGCAACCATTTATATTAGATTTGGTTTCCAAGTTTGAGGATTCTTCTTTGATCCCGATCCGATGCATCGGGTCATTTTTCTCTGATGAAGCAGATTAAAATGCTCGCGAAACATCGGAATAAAAACAGAATCCTCAAACTCGGAAACCAAACCTAATATTCATAAACATCGCGAAAGCCTCAAATATCAAACTATTTACATTATTAAGGTAACGAATCACAGTGCCAGTGTACGATTTCAGGTAAGTTGAAACGCAAGCAAGTTTCAAAGGTAATAAGTAGTTTGTAGCATCAAACAACTTTTTTGCTGCGATAATTTTACCAACTAGTCAGTTTCACTTCTCCACTGTCGCGGCATTCCTAACCTTACCGGCTCCCTCTCTCTCTCTCTCTCTCTCTCTCTCTCTCTCTCTCTCTCTCTCTCTCTCTTTTGTTGAGGATATTTATGCCGGTAATCATAGTTGGGTCTTATTTTTGACTGCTTAAGTTCATCTTCAGATACTCCGTAGCCAATGAAATGATCCGTTCATCATCTGAAGATAAACTTAAGACGGTCTTAAATATAAGATCTGACTATGAATACCGGTCTTAAAGCCCGTATCAGACTACCGACCGCATCAGTGCTGGGAGTTCGCGATATATTTTCGCGTACGCGCATTGAGCAAACTCTGTAGTAATCTCAGCGCCGTATCTATTTTAAGGTATCGTAAGAGGGAGAGTTCCGATTGACCACGGTACTATTGGACATAACCAATCGATGATAAGAATTTTCTAGTGAATTACTAGGTCGAACCAATCATTACAATCTATGTCCAGTCGTACCGTGGTCAATCGAAACCTACTCATCGTAAGATCCTTCACCTAAAAGAAAATATGAAGAGATTGTAGGGAAAAAGAAAGTTTATGGAAAGAAATAGAATGCTGTTCATGAGTAAAAATAAATATATTATTTAAATATATTTTTTATTTTGTAATTTTTGCAGCCGACCAATCTTTGAAAATATTCATATTTAACCATGCATATTGGAATTTTTTTTTCGCACATTTCCTCTTCTTTGCTTCGATGCCACTTGATGACGAAGGCTGATGTTGATTTCTCCATTTCTTTCTTCAATACGGCACTTTTTTCTTTAATTTAAACTTAATATTATAATTGCACTTTTCTTTATCACAATATCACTTTATATTAAAATTGCACTTTTTTATCACATTTTATTTATTAATATATACTATATATACATATTATAATATCACATTTTACATAGCTATACTAATTATTATAACTATATTAATTATACTAATTTATTATTATATCATTTTACTACCTATGTAACCTAACCACTCGCGGGCAAATAACAGACAGACGGCCGAGTATTCTATGCATGTCCCCTAAAAACCCTCTACTAACGCCGTCATTAGAAACTGCTTACGTCGAACTGCTACATCATTTCACGCATGCGCATGTCATCTAAGGTTTGCTCTGCACTGGTGCAATAAGTTAGAGTGAGACAAATACATATTTGTCTCACTCTAACTTATTGCAGCAGTGCAGAGCGAAAGAACAGACCACTAGAAAATATCGCGAACTCCCAACACTGGACTACACAGGCAGACTCGACTGCCGACCACTGAAATATTATCAGGCAGTGATGAATTTTTGCAAGGTGTGACTCGCGCATGCGTACAGAGCAAATGCTCGGAGTCTTCACTTACGTACATACTTTCGTCAAATCTAAGGTATCCGTTAGGGCCCTGCGAAAAAGGAAATGTGAAGGAATTAGCAGGAGGGAGAAAAATTGTTTTGATAGGAGTAGAGTGCAAGTAATATGAATAATAATAAGTTTTAGATCGTTAATCACCTGTGGATCAGAGTAAGTTTGTTTCAATAAAGGAACCATGTGATCTACTGTCTGAAAAGCATTACACTGGAGCGTAGCAAGATCTAGATTACAAACCGCGCAGAGAGCTTTTTCATTATTATCATGTGACATTAACCAATCTTTAAAACTATTCACTCAGTACACGTTGATCTTGTTTATAATCACATACGGGAACAGTACAAGAGCCCCTTATAGCACCTAGTACTACACCCTAAATACATTTCTGAACGCAGCTGAATTTCTACCTGTGACGTCAGCTTACGCATGCGCACGAAGCTTCCTGGAACAGCGAACATCTTGCAAAAATTCATCACTGCTACCAGAAACGTGCGCAACCTCTTGAGTGTTGCAAGATGAGAGAAAGCATGCTTGTAGGTTTAGACTGATATTACATGTGTTGTACGACAAGCTTTTTGAATATGTTCATTAGTTGACGAACAGAAAACCTAGAAATACTCTATTCGCCAACCAATATACGTATCCGAAAAGCTTGTCGTACGACATATGAGGTTTGTTCGCGTCGCATGCCCCAACGTGCTCCTACTCGCTCCAACGTACTCTGATTGGTCTGCGTGGTGACATGAGCCAATCAGAGTGCGTTGGAGCGAGTAGGAGCACGTTGGGGCATGCGACGCGAACAAACCTATGTAATATCAGCCTTATGCAGGATTCACATCGCGTCCGATATCCGATGTACGACGTCCGATATCCAATAAGAGAACATCTTTCTATTAGAGAATTCAATTCTCTATTGGAAAGCTGTTCTCCTATTGGATATTGGATGTCGTACGTTGGACATCGGACGCGGTGTGAATCCTCCATTAAGGTTATTCTACATTATAGCGTATTCGACTAGCCCTGGGTTAATCGCTCCGAGAGCGATTAATGACGTCATAAGTCTCTACTAGCCAATCATAAAGCTTATAAGTACTTGTTCGACCAATAAACGTAGGCTGAATAATCCAGAGTGGGTTAACCCAGAGCTAGTCGGACATGCTATTAAAACAGCGGCATATAATGCTTGTTTTCGTACTGGATTACTTGTTGGATGGAAAACTTTATTTTGATTAGTCCGTCTTCAGAAATGCACCAATCAGGGTATCTATTATGGACTTCTTCGGAATCAATTCCGATCGGAATAATTCCGTTTCCCTTAGAAAAGACAATAGAAATCTAGGAAATAACTGAATGTTTCCGATCGGAATTGATTCCGAAGAAGTCCATAATAGGTACCCAGAACAGAGTACTTCCATCCAGCAAGCAATCCAGCATGAAAACAAGCATCGTGTACCGCTGGCTTTAGTTGCAAGCCGATCGCAAGCAGACACAATTCTTATTGCGACAGCTAATCAGAAGCATCAATGGTACTATTGACGCTTCTGATTGGCTGTCACAACAAGAGTTGCAACTAATGTAGAACGATTTTTATAGCGAGCAATAGCAAGCAACATATGCACGTATACAGTTGTGTGCATGCATATATGTATATGTATAAATGTATATCTCTTACTATTTTCATAAGAGATGAGAATTAGAAAATAAAAGAACTAAATTATATGAGGTATCCGGTAACTCGCGAGATGCCGTATCCCCGCTCTGCATGATATCACGCGTTTAGTTCGGCCACATTCGGAGACAATCTCAGAGGGCGCGACAAAAAACCGGAGCCAATTTTTACAAGAGGGAGTTTGTACCCCCTACCTTCTCCAATAAAGGGCTGCGTTCGGAAACGTCACTTTAGTACTCTCCCTCTCTTTTTATTTTACTTTTGTATTTCGCTCACTCCAACGGCTATCGTCTAGTAGTGCGCACACAGTGTGTCTCCGAACGCAGCATAGGTATGTTTAGTGATCGCATCGCACAATAATTGATGATATAATCAAGAAATGAATGATATAAATATATAAATATGCATCAGCAATTGTAATGGCATGCAAAATACGCATCATGTTTGCAACCGCGACAACACTGGGCACATGTATCGTAATATTTCAGGTATACACGAATGAATCAGAGTCATATGACCCATTAGTACCACGAAAGCCAAATGTTGATGTATGTCTTCTTTCTTTTTACAGCTGTGTTTGATGCTATGCGACCGCACGGAATTGTCTATCTTAGGTAATTCATTGCTGTTATAATGATAGCGTACGAGTTTTTTCCTTTGTTTTTAAAGGATTTAGTGTGATCCAATCAAATCTAATTTGGCTTTGTAAGATTGGCTCCCGAATAATAAATCTGTCATTTCGATACTAGATTTTGTTAATACTTAATGTTATACTGATGTTTACCAACAAAGGCTAATGTATCTTGTCTCGCTTAGATGATGTTACACCTATTGTGCTGTGGTGGACATCTTTCGGTACCAATAATCAAGCGAAAGTCTGTGGAAGCACCAAATGTTACTTTACACACGATAGAGCGTTTCAGAGCAACACACGATTAAAAGTATGATTCTTTCGACGTGGTAAACAAAGCATAACATGTGCTATATAGCATTTTTCAATGTTAAATTTATCATTGATTTTTACAGAGTATTCTTTTTTATGGAAGTAACTTTCGCGTTCGTGATTTACCCACTTGGAGGAATAGTGCTGTATCGTGGGGCTTGTTCCATGAGGAGTCTCCCAGAAATAATCCTATACTTGTTCACAAAGAAGCACTCAATCTTTTCAATTACTCTTCAACTTTCAGCAGATTCAGTAATGTACCGCTTACGCTTCTTGATTTACCCAGTCTGGACGAATTAATAGGTAAGTGTATAATTGTATCTGATAAAGGCAACAAGGCAATGAGATTAAAATGCTTTTTTCTCACTTGAACAGCAATGCACGTAACTAAAGATTTTGCCAAGGTTGTGTATACATCACAAACAAGAATATGATCGAGCCTGTTTGTAGGGAAATCATATTATGTTGATACCAAAGAGAAGACTGTGTTGATGCGTACACAGAATTTAGCACCAGTATTATATATTCAATCTGACTGTGATACTGCTAGCAACAGAGATCGCTATGTTTTAGAATTAATGAAGTACATTCGTATCGATTCTTATGGTGCGTGTATAAATAATGCTCAGCTTGACAACAGGTACATTTACATAATATGATTCGTGCATCATGTGACATTAATTATTATTGGTATGTGAAATGTTCAGGTTGAAGGACAACTATCTCGACATATTAAATAATCGTGAATTCTTATCCTTCGTGGCCAAATACAAGTTTACCATAGCCTTTGAGAATGCGGTATGTGACGATTATATCACAGAAAAACTATGGAGGCCTCTTATCGTTGGTTCCGTACCTATATATTATGGATCGCCATCTTTTAAGGTATCATTTCATACGAGTTTTTCCCTTTGTTTTTAAAGGATTTAGTGTGATCCAATTAAATCTAATTTGGCTTTGTAGGATTGGCTCCCGAATAATAAATCTGCCATTTCGATACTAGATTTTGTTGAGCCACTGCAACTCGCCAATTTTTTGCATAAACTTGTAGAAAATAATTCTGCATACGAAGAATATTTGCATCACAAATTGGGCGAACGCGAATATCGTGTCACGAATGACAGATTGCTGCATTTCCTCGAGAGAAGACCGGCAGGAGTTTCTAATGAATTTGGAAATTACGTAGAGGCATTCGAATGCTTCATTTGCGAACAAATACAAAATAATCGTAAGTCGCAGGTGGATATAGTAACGGAGCGACAATACAATTGTCCATTGCCAAGAGATCCAATAACAAGCGAAACTGATAAACAAAATTGGTGGATTGACAAGTGGAATATTGAGAAATGCGGAGCCAAGTTGTTAGCTCATTATGCAACTAATAACATTAGTTTTAATATCAATCATTTTGATAAGCAAAAAATGCACATGTACGACAACGGCGAATGTTGATGCATACAGAAGAATCGTAGAATCTCGAGACTGTCAAAATGATTTTGGAGGAGTACTTATAAGTTTGAGAATTTGTTTTCAGTATTTCTCTCTGTATCTCAGTATTATATATAAGGGAACACATACTTTTACACATTTATTTCATATAAAATAATACAGTAGAAAAGTTGAAATTATTAAATACATTTTACGAAATGTAGATTTCGACTGTGTCATAAAACGAAAAGGAAAGGAAGAGAAGAAGAGAGAAACTTTTGTTCTTATATGTGCATACATATGTGTGTAGTATTTTTCAAATGTACAAAGTATCAGTCCTGAAAACTGCCATATTTTTTCTAACTTTTTTTTTAGAATCGCGCTTAGCTAGCGATTTTGTATATTGGAGATACACTAAATCACTAGCTTTGCTTTACTTTATACACTGTATAAGCGTAAAAGTAAAATACAAGCTTAAAGAAATGTTGTTTTGTAGGAGAAGCTTTCTGTATATAAGACTGCTCCTCTTTCAATTTATCGACTTTACTTGCAAAACTGGAGCAGGTACTTTCATTAGCTCGCACAAATGATTTCTGATAGGACGTAAATCTATGATGGATTGTTCCCAATCTGTAGCATTCAATTTTGTGAGTATATTTGCCAAATCCTCTTCCGTTATATCCATTTCTTCTCCATAAAGAGTTAAAGCTTCATAAGTACGTATAGCCGTAGTCTTTCTCAGACATGTATATTTATGACACAAAAATATACTCAACTGACAAAATGCTCTCTTTGCAACAGGACCTCGTACCTGGTATGCAACAGATAACATAAAAAAATATGTATGTGTATGTATAAATTTAAATATGTATAAATACAAATAATTGAATATATACATGCACACGCGTAAAGTTTATGCAACAATTATACATTATTACTATCATCGTCAGACTTACTTGTAACAACTGGCAGAAAACATTTATGCTACTGATGAGCAATTTCATATTACTGGAATATTTGATCTCGTGTTTCAGTAATGTTAATATACGTTCAGAAATTGTATTGTCCGCATCATCCAAAATGGACTGAATACAGCCCGAACTTAATAAACGATCCAGAAAAGCCAACATTGATGTTATCATCCTCTCATTTTTACGACTTTCTTCGAATATACTTAAAATCTTTTCGCATACATCCTTCAAGCCCACCTCGTCGATCTCTTGTAAGTAAGTAAATAAAGAAACGCTCGAATATTTTACCTGCATTGATTAGAAAGAAATGTATTTGGTCATGGTAGAATTACTTGGCAAAATTAGTGTTTAGCTGCTTCAATGCAAAAAAAGAGAGAGACATAGAGAAAAAAGTTGATTCTGAAGTGAAAATGATGTATTGGCTATTAAATAATTTCTTCGGTATTCCTTACAATCACACACAATTATGTATATATAATGTATATATAATATATATAATGTATATGTATGTATTAAAATTTAGTAAATAAGAGTTTACCAATGACTCGCTTAAGCCGCCGACGCTAAATATAATTCCGCGTAACAGACTTATTTTATATGGCGGGAAACTCAACATCTTAATAAATCGCGGAAATGTTGCGGATTCCATCCTCCATTCGATATTCTCTTTACATTCGTTAAGAGGAAATATAGCTTTCAGTTCATTGTGATATGGAATATTGGGAAGTGGTGGTTCGCTGTGTCAGAAATTGAAACACTTTACACTCTATGCTATTCTATATAAATTAAAAGTCGATTTGTTAGATCATAGGTATTGTGTAGAAATGTATTTACCTGTGTATAAGCGCGCTAAATACCGTGCCAGCTTGTGCCCGAATTCCATCTATTCTTTCGACAGCTTGTTGTGCGATACCACCAATGATGCTAGACATCAACTCTTCATTCAATATGAACAATAGTTTTGCCTGCGACACTAAATTTGTCAATATCTGAAACAAAACCGAATTTACACGAGTCTCTATGCGGGATCTTACGAACGATAGAGAATCTGTCGTTTGAAATCTGGAATTGATTTTCTTTTTTCTCTTTTTTCTTGTGAAAAATGTCGAAAAGTCGACACGTTACGAATTGTGAAGGCAAAATAATTTTCATGTTGTTTTCTGCAACGTGAAATCTACGTACATGTAATCCAATCATAGCAGCTTCCCTCACCCAAGCGCCTATGTCTCCGCGACTATCTATCGTATATTCTTTAAGAGCCAATAAATAACAATTGTACAGATCAGGCATAAACGATTGCCACTTGTCTGAAAATGCACATTTCGTCGTTTTCACTCAATTCAATATACAAATTGTCAGTGGCAATACGTCCAGAAAACTTACCCGCTTCGTCAATCCCCAACGTTTGGCATATCATTATTAAAGAATGCAAAGCTTCTTTCCTACTCTCCGCCCATTTTGATGTGTTTGCAGATATATTGGTGCACATGATCAACGCCTCTATAATATCTTTCACTCTTTCGCGAATAACGAATAACGGAAAATGACCTGTTTGAAACAACTTCAATTGAAACAAATAATAGATGTGTCTATAAATAATTAAAACGATTTGCATATTTTTACGTTTAACGTTTTATCGCTAATGTATGTGTGCAACACAACACACACACACACACACACACACACACACATACACATTCATAATTTACACTTAATTTTAACTTCAACAAATACAGTACATATCATACAAGTATTTCCAAAGTGTTGGAAAAAATCTCTCACTTTAAAACTACAGTCTCGTACGTATAAATTATATGTATACAAAACATATAATAAGAATAGTATCAAATCCACACCTACAGAGATTTTCCAGTTTCTAATAAAATTTTTCAAAGTAACATCACATCGATTCCATCGATTTTTCTACATAGGAGATATCTGCTGAAGATGAATTTAGATACAAGATAGACAAGCACACAACTCTCCTTCGGCTTACCGATTGCTTGTGCGAAACCTATTCTAACAGACTGGTTACTCGATTGTAGAGATTCCAAGTAACGATTGACTACGACATTCCGAGCGTCATAGTCGATGCCTATGTAGTATTCTACAAAAAAGTTTGTGTGTGCTTCGGCTGCTTTTAATTTAACTGCCGACACCTCGTGGCTCAAGCACTCTTCTAATAGCTTCTGCCAATCGTCTACATTATTCACAACGCAAATGTTACCGCATTAATCAATTGTGCTAATAAAAGTGACATCAGAGCAAGTGTAATCGAGTAGTTTTAATTATAATATTTATACTTGCCTATAATATCGGTCAAATGAATGGGGAAATGAACGACAGAACATTTCTTTATCAGCACAGCACAAGCTTGTTTCATAAGCTCTCCACCGAGTCCTTTAAATTGTCCCCTACTTCGGAAAGTTCGTATTATGTCTTGAATATCAGAGACAGCCGCGGCTCCTGGAAAAATTCATTGAGTACATTCAAAAAGAAATAAAAGCAACAGAATATCCTTTTATTACAGAAAACGTAGACAATGTTTTTTACATATTCTTACCGATAATATTTTCAATCTTGTCGTTGAAATGATTATATAAAGCTTCGAGAATCTCCGCAGTTGCTAATACCGCACCGTGTCTAACGTTTAAATCGATAGAATTTAGCATGTCCAGCAAAGTAAGTAGTACTGTGCTTATCATATAGTGCGGATCAGCTGCCGTCAAATTGAAAAGTGACTGCAATAAATTACTAATAACATATGGGCAACTGAAAATTTATGACATTTTATTTTTATATTGAATCAGAATATATTGCTACCAAAAGTGAAATTTACTCTAGCTGAAAGTTCTCTAATTGCAGTGTCCCAGTGTGTAACCTTTTTAGTAACTAGATGATCTATTAAGGGTTTCGTATATTCTTCATATTGCGCAATTTGGACACTATAAATAATTGTTGCAAATTAGCATGGCTCAAAAATCACACACACTCACACACACACACACACTCACACACACACACACCTGATTTTGAGATATGTGTGGCTCCTCACACCAACTTCAAAATAATCAGCGACAGTTAGTATATTTATACCGTGTGGAAAGTTGCCCTGCCTGCCAACATTTTCTTGAAATGCAGCAGATGCTGCTCTCCTACAGTTTATCTAACAACGTAAACAGTGTATTATAAAATGCATTATTAAATGACAATGGAAAACACAGAATGCTGTCGAATTTACGAATTTCCCCTTAACACGCAATTTCTTTGGCTAACCTTTTCTTTTTTTTAATGAAAATGTTAAAGCAAAAATATTTAAATATTTGATATTTTAAATTAAAAAATATCAAGTGAAATTATCATTTGTTGTGTCTTTACAATCTGTAACTTTGTATATACATTGTGTACCTAAACTTTAAATTAAAATCTTATCAAAACAAAAGATTCACTCGTGTGAAATGTATTGTCCGTTTTCTCTCATGAAGAGCATTTCAAGTTTGTCAGAAATCCTGAATTTTTTTTTAGATATCTGTTTAAATAAATTACAGATACCTGTGGTAGCTTTTTGGAGGGGAAAATCATTTCTAAATTGGCCAAAGAATCTATAGTGAAAAGAGAACAGTATGGGAAAAGGTACAAAAATAAAAAAAAAATTTGGCTTTGAGGTACAGAGATATATGTACTTGTACCTCTCTATCGAAACATGTCACCACCAATAACATTGCCGCAATTTCTTTGACATAAGGTTCGAAAACATGAGGATCGTAGGCTCTCGGAAAAGACCAGCATATATAACAAGCAGCGTCTCTGATCAGATAACCGATCGATCCATAAGCTCGAGGCTCGTCAAAGACCAGGGCTTGGAGAACTACTGGAATAACGTCGCTTAAACGATGAGGCAGCAATAAGCCACGCCTTCCTGAAATTTAAACTTATAATAAAGATGATAGAACGTAACACGCGATGATGATATTGTAACGTGCAAAACGCACCAAGTTCCGCGAGTGCTAAACAACCACCATGCCATGCCGAATCGGACTCACGTCCAGAAAACAGATTCAATACGAACCCCAGCACATCGTCGGCTAAGTCTACCGGTAGTCTAGCTGTTATTCTGCCGATACCTTTCGCCGCAGACCACCTAAACAATTTACATTATCCGTTGAATCAAATTATTTATAGCAATTAATTAATAAATTATTTGTGCAATCGAAGTGGCATATATGCACCTTATAGTGATTGCTTTATCTCGAAGGCCTTGTATCAGTTGTTCTATGATATCTTCAATAGCTGGAGGAATTTCCTGATCTTCGTTGTCATTTGAAATAGTTTTCTTAAAATCGATAACACTTTCGGTAATATCATCCGTTTTAATATTCGGCATAATACTAATCGGTCGACTTGTTTTTTGATAGCGCCAGGATGCCAATTTCGTTCTTAGCAGTACCAAACCTGTCAGATTGTAGTAAATTGTCAAAATCCATAAAATGTATGTGTGCGCGCACATGTATGTGTGTGTGTGTGTGTGAGAATATACACGTATACATTTATGACGTGTTGAGAAAATTGACTGTCGGAATACCTATGCGCTGAACAACTTTTATTCCAAACTTTCTGATGAGATCTGCTGGATTATCATTTAAGCGAAGTTTCAACATGTTATCAAGAAGCATTTGACTATATGGTTTAACATCTTCTCTCGCGCTATGCTTTAATATCGAGGCTATTACAGCCAATGGTCCATGTCTCAAGGGATCGTCTTCTATGCACTGAAACATTGAAACTCATGAAATCACACTGTTGATGTTATCACACATTGAAATAATATATGATATTGTTGCATTACCTTTAAGCACCACATCATCATTTCTTCTAGATATAATTTCTTAACATCAGACCTTGTTAAAAAGTTTGATATTAAGAATACTGCTGCTACAGCACAGGCATCTTTTGATAAACAATATAATTTACATACTTTTAAGATTCTAGAACATATTATCCAGATTAGAATCTGATGCATTTGTATTATCCTTTAAATTTTGTTTATGCAACATAGAAAATAATAATATTAATAATACCTGACAACAATGGTCCGTTCTGGGTCTACATTTTCAGATGTCTCTAGACGAGATAGGGGAAAAGGTATTTTTGAGATAATGGATAACCATATAAGGAGAACATATCGAGTTTCCCAGGTTTCTACATCATGTGGATTTTGCTTTTCAAGCATTCTTAATACAGGTAAAAGATCTACCACCTACAACAGAATGTGTTTGCACTATGAATGTTAAAATTAGGTCAATTACAATCCATTTTAGAGCATAAAAACAGATTATTGTGATCATTTCTCATTCTTTTTTATAACATATAAAGATTTCATTTATTTAATATCAAGTGACAATACATACCTCGTGTGGTAAATAAGTAACGATCTTTTTATACGTTTTTACAGACATGATGATAAATAGGTATTTAAATGCGTTATGCTTGATACTTTCTGCACAGCAATCATCTTTTATAATAGACAATAAGGATCCCAGGATTCTCTCGAGGTACGGGTCTAGGAGTTGATGTTGATCTTGATACTGGGACAAAATAAAGTTGAAGCGATCCCTATTCCTTTCCACTAGACTCGACGATAAGTCAGGCTTCCTCAATTCCGCTGTCAGAGTGGTCACTTCGTCTATCTCTTTGAACGCGTTGAAGCCGCATCCTACCCTTTCTGGATCCGGATAATCATTCAACACCATTGTTTGTAAAATTTGTTTGTTTGTTCTTTGCCGAGATCACGAATTTGACATGTGTCGCACACGACTCACGTGAATCATAAGCCGTACGAGCTGTTCATCGTCAAAATTATAACCTTACATGGATGTCTCTCTCTCTCTGTTTTCTGTTCTGTTCTGTTCTGTAATAGCTGCGTTCCGAAATTCACTGATAGCGAATTCGGTAGCTTGCACTAGTGCGCACTGAGTGCGCATTAAGGCTTGTTTACAGTACATTCTTATATTTAAGATCGTGTCTTAAATACATATTTAAAAACATTTTAACTAATAAAATGATTCGTACGGATGTTATACATATCATATTATGGTTAAAAATATTTGAGAATTTATTTGAGAATTATTTAAGACAATTTTTAAATATAATAACATACTATGAACAAGCTTAGTGCGCACTCAGTGCACACTAGTGCAAGCAACCGATTCGCTATGACAGTACTGAAATTCTATAGTATACGTGACATGAACTATAGAATTTCAGTACTGGCAGTGAATTTCGGAACGTAGCCAATGGCTCCGGGGGAAAAAGTTATCCCCATACGCCATTCTCCAATCCTTATGCCTCGTTTGTAGTTACTGGTGTAAACTTCATGCTCCTATAGGCTTTTGTATGTGCTTCTCAGAAAATTGTCTATTTCTTTAAATGTTTTAATATGCTTCAAATCGAAAGCTCGGTCATGAATCAAATCAGCTGAGAATTCACAATCAATTTGTGATAATTTAGCTAGTAAATGATCCGATTCCTTTTGGTACTTTGGACAATTGAACAGGATATGTTTTGTGCTCCTCCACAAAAGTCCATCCACACTTACAATTGGTATGTTCAATGATGTTTTTATCAATTAAGTGAGGTAGTGAACATATATAAAATGATCTGCACCGGGCAATAAGAGTAATGACGCTTCTGTTCATCTCCCAGGTGTCTTTGAACCACGGCTTTTGCATTACAGACTCAATTTTACTCCTGTATCTGCTTCCTTTGTCTAGAAATTCATTTTCCAGCTTCTGAATGGCTTCGATACGAATAGAAGTTTTATTACGTAGTATGACGTCATCTATATTCTGGTAGTAAAGCTCATCCAACGGTGTTTCGGTGCTAATTGCTCCAAGACCAGCCAACATATCCGCCAGATGATTTCCCGGGATTCCTCGATGACTGGGGATCCATATGAAAGAGATGTCCACATCTTTTTTAGCTGCAGCGTGGACTGCACTTTTGATGTCATAGTATATTTTCTTGCATTTTCCTTTTAGATCCATGTTATTAAGCATCATAAGAGAACTAAGGGAGTCCGTGAATATCCCAACTTTCTTCTTTGCATGATCTCTTACCAAATTAACCGCTCTCAAAAGGGCTAAACCCTCGACAAACGAGATAGTCAAGGAGTCGTGAACCCTAATAGCCTCTCTGACCTCCGGACAGGGCGAGTAGACCCCAAACCCAGCACCACCACCACTCTATATGGAACCATCCGTGTACACCTCAATATCGAGATCAAGAGATTTTATCGTAGCCTCGGCCAATCTGTCCATACCCGCCTGCGATTTCTTATTTCCGTAATCATTTTTATCATACCAATAATTACCTTTTTTAACTTTGAAATACTTAATTTTGTCAAATTGATTAAAGATAATATTACATTTATATGTTCTGATATGATAATGATTATCAATGGCCGGAGGACGAGGTAGCCTGTCTCCCAGACAAATTGATTTGAGATACTCTTTATTATCCGAAATAAATTTCTCTATTGAACTAATACTTTCATTGTCCAATTGAACAATAGGATTTTGATCATATTTTCTGAGAATTGATGTAATACCCTCAATCAAGGCGTTCGGGCCCAAAATGAGACTTTTAAGGATAATCTTAGAGGTTAAATATTTCCATCTATACTTCAACGGCCATTCTCCCATCTGATCCAACATAACATTCGTGGGAGTGGAAATCATTAGACCCAAGACCAATCGTATACATCTGTACTGGATTTTATTAAGGATATTAATTTTTTTCCCAGGACAATCTAGTAAAACTATACTGCCCCAGTCAAGGACCGACCTAATCAGTCCTTTATAAACCAATATTTATATACATATAACCGTTATTTATATACATCGTCGATGTTAAGATTATCTAATAGAAAGTTACTATTTAATACACGTATCAAGTGCACGATGTAAACCAAGCCAATGGCTTGGTACGCGTATTAAATTTGATGAGCACCAATGCTTTAGTCCCGAATCACAATAGGTGTAGTAAGCTTTAAGCCTTAAGAAATTGACCAATCACAGTCGATTATTCTCGTCAAATTTGACTGTGATTGGTCAATTTCTTAAGGCTTAAAGCTTATTACATCTATTGTGACTCGGGACTTATACCAGCTTAATAAATCGTTGTTTATATATATTCGTCGATATTAATTGCATGTTCGACTGGTTCTGGGTTAACCACCCACTCTGAGTTATTCAGCCTACGTTTATTGGTCGAACAAATACTTATAAGCTTTATGATTGGTTAGTAGAGACTTATGACGTCATTAATCGCTTTCGGAGCGATTAACCTAGGACCAGTCGAACACGCTATTTGATTATCTAATAGAAAGTTACTATAGTATTTAAGCCGGTATTCATAATCCA